TGGCATTGTTGCGGGAGCGCAAAGAAAGAGCATGGTCAGAGATTGCCCTTCGAAGTTGAAGGGGCGGGGCTCCGACGCCGAAGCCCGCGCTGGCTCTAGCGCAGAGGGTTTCGTCGAGTGCCTCTTTCTCGAAGACTTCCAGAGAATGAAAGTTTTCGTACTTGCGTATCACGACCTCATGGATGGGCTCGACGAGCTGCAGGCCCATGCCCGCGGCGCGTTCGCCGCTTTCCCCCGCCAGCAGGCCATCGACAATTTTGAGACCACCTTCCAGAAGTGGATGTTCGGAAATGAGGAGAACATCGTGTTCGACGAGGATTCCGGCGCCGAAACCGCTCCAGCTTCGCAGGGCAAGATGGGCGCGACGCCCAGCGCGGGAACGTGCCTGACGTGCCGACAGGTTTTCACGGCGAGACCGATTACTATTCTTCACATGGAATGATTTTGGGAGGACATCACGAGGAATTGAGAGAGGCCGCTGGGCATCGTGCCATGCTGGCCCAGGACCACGGCGCATGCGATGATCGCGTTTTGGCTTATCTTGCTTTTGGTGGTGATCAGTGGCCACGAACTCCACGGGGAAGCTATGCGCCACTGGCGAAATGCCCGTGGGCGCTGGCAGCAAGCCCTCAGCATCGCCTTCGACGTGCGATGCGGGGAAAGGGCCAGGGGGCCCAGGTACCAGCCTAGGAACAAGCCTCACCCCACGCAGCTCGGCAACCCCACGCTTCCTTCAACCCCTGAATTCTGTTCGCAACTGGGAATTGGCAGCAATAATTTTACAACATGCGCCGCAGAGCTAGAGCTGGGATGCCGCGCCAACAGAAACGAGCTCGCACCCGCACCAGGCGCTGCTTCCCCCGATGGCCAAGGAGGTCCCGCGACGGTGGCGATCGAAAAGCTTGCCTCGCAGGATGCGGGCGATGGCGACATGGGCTTTGACGAAGACGAGGCCGTTCTATTCATGGTTTGCGACGGCGACGACGACTGTGACTTCGGCTGAAGCTGGGCCGACCATGGATCTTCCGAGAGGAATTGCCGCCGCGCGAGCTCCCCCCTTGAGGTGGCGCCCGCGTGAGAGCACCCGTGGCAGTTCGACCCCCGCCAGACGGCGATGCTCCACTGCGATGAGCTGCCAGCGCGAGATGGCCCATGACGCGCGCGGGGTCGCCACTCAGCGCCAGGCATTGGAAATCCTGCGTATCGCGACAAGTTCGGACGTTCAACGCGACGCCCCGGCAAACCGCGACGACCAGGGCGACGGTCGGGTCGAGTGCAGCGTCGCGGTCAGATCAACGCGCGCGGGGACTACGGCCGATTTGGTGAAGCTTGCTCCGGGAACTAGCAGGGGCGCAGGCCTGGGCGCTCGGCCGGGAGCGAATCGCAGAGCCGCAACAGGGGTCCCACCCCAACCGCGGCGATCTGCCGCTGGTTCCCATGACCCAAGCCGAGATCAACGAAGTGCTCCGACGCGCGGGTCGCGATGGCCCGGCGCATGCTGCCCCGCGGGGGGGCGCCTCCAGTGCAGCCGCGGCAGCGGCTCCTGCTGACCAGCGCGGCTGCGCCAGTGCCGCTGCAGCCTCGGGTACCGGGGGGCTTCCTTTCTACCGCGTGACCCCTGACGACGAAGCAGCAGTTTGGATTGCCAGGGAACGTCTCGTTGATTCATGGGAGACCGAAAAGCTCGACGTCGAGCCAATGAGGTTCCCAATCGGGTAGCCGGTACGGATGCCGCGTCATGGGGCTCAGATGCCCCCAGGAGGGGGGCAGGGGTTCGGTTGGAAATATCTCCCGCGCAGTCTGTGCTATCCAAGTCCGGTCGGTTTGAATCTAGATCGTCAGTTGCCGCGGATTTGTCGGGGGCGTCGCCGATCCGTCAGCGCGCGCGTCTCGCGGCGGCGCGGGCGAGGCCGAGAAGGGGGCGCGATGTGGTAGGACTCCGAAGTCTTTGCCGCGTCCATCCCCGAGTGGATCGCGGACCCCTGGGAGCGCTGGGAGACGAGCCAGTGGCCGGGACAGAGGTGGCGACCGGAGTGCGAGGTCGGAAAGGGCGGCATCGAATCCCAAGTTCATCAGCATCAGCGCCCCACTTCTGTCCAAGATGCCGCGGGGGTAGCCCGCGGGGCCGGCCTCGGGACTCGCTGACGTTGCCGGGAGGAGGCAAGCGCGACGCTCCACGAGCATCGCTTCGAGGGCGGAGACCTTCGAGAATGCCAATTTTGCTCCAACGCCTGCGGCGCCGATGGCCGCGCAATCGGAGGCTTCGCAGAGCGTGCAGGTCTTCTGCGGCGCGCGGGCGCCCGCCGCGCTAGAGCCGCCGCCTCCTACGCGTCGGGGAGGGGGGGGGGGGGGCGATTGTAGCGGGCGCGCCCCCGCCGCCGACGCGGGAGGGCCCGCTCGCAGACGCTGCTGAACCAGCGCTATGCCCGCGCCGCCGACGCCGCCAAAAGTTGCGAAACCGCTCCCGCCAAGTCGAGGAGACGCGCCCTCGGCCGCAGCTCCTGCAGCAGCTTCGCCGGCAGCGGCCCCAGCGTCGGCGGGGCCGCCGCAGAGCGGCGCTCACAGGATGGCGCCGCCGCCCGGCCTCTACAGCGGCGCGGCGGCGCGTCCGCGCCGGGGCGACGAAGACATTGAAGGCGCTGCTGCGCCGCCGCCAGGGCCAGGAGGGGCGCCGCAAGCAGAAGCGCCAGCTGACGACGCGTCCCGCGCGTTTGTTAGCCCTCGGGCAATTGCCGACCGCTACGCTCTGCGGGAGATTGCTCCGTTGAGGAGCGCGCTGGGGCGTCTGGCGCGAACGCCGCGGTCGACTTTGCAAAGCCTTCAACAATCTGATTCGGCGCGAGCCGAACCAGAGGAATTGGCGCCCCCTCGCCAGCCTCGACGACCGCGATGGCTGGGCCGAGATTCGCTGCACCCTGCTGAGACGCCACCGTTGGGCTCAACGGGATCACTAGCGCATGCGTCGCGAAGCTTACTAATTCGAGTGTCACAGGGGGGTGGTCGGCATTGGTCTGCGCAGTGTGGAATATGGCCAACATCGTGATCGCTCTCTCGTGGACGAGCCATGCAAATTTTGGATACCAGCTGAGGATCCTTGCGAAGATGGCCCATAGTTGATCAGTTTTCGTCGGTCGTTCGCAAGGTCGTTCCTGGCGGGCGAAAGCGCCGCGCGCCCCCTTCGCAGAGGTAGCTGGGCACTCCAGCCACCCATCCTAAACCAGCAATTCATGGGACATGCTGGGTTCATCTTCCAAGAATGACGAAACATGGCCTTTCAGTCGGTTCGAGGACCCATGTCCGCGTGGCCCCGCATGACATCGACTGGCGTGCCGCGACGTAGCAGGGGAACATCGAGTTCTACCTCCGACAGTGACGTTCTGCTGAGCGAGGGGAGGAGCGGTGTCGTCGCGCCGATGCTCCTCCGCAAGGGCACCTGACTGGAGTCGGTCGGGACGCGGGGCGGCCCGATCCCGCTCTTCGCCCCCGGCGCTGACTTGAAGCCCCCCAGGATGGATGATTGGGGTTTGCCCCGTCAGCGAAAGCCATGGCCGAGCTTTGGGCGACCTGCGGCTTCTTGCGCAGAAGGGGGTGGCCGACAGACCACGCGCTACATGATCGCCTCCACCGAGGACGGCAGCCGCCCCCCATGTCGCCGCGGCCGCGACGGGAGCGAGGCCAGCGCGGGAACGCGCCTATTTATCCGGCCGATTGACACGGCCGGTTCAGACACCTCGTGGGCGATACTTACGCAGCAGGGCATCACCAGCCCGAGGCCGTCCAGAAACTGGCCGACATGTGTTGTCGCCGCGACCGCGCGCAGCGTCGGCGGGCGTTGTGGCCGATGTGCAGACGCAGCAGCCACCCCGGCAGCGAAAACTTCCCGCGGCGCCTCCGACGCATGGATTTGCCCCGCGATCTCCGTCCGCCAGCAGGGGGTGCACGCTTCGAGCCTCTTGGCAACAGCTAGGCGTTCAGCGCGCATGCGCCGCTGTCGGAGGGCAAGATGGCGATGCGGCTTGCAGCCTTCCGGATTTCCACCCCGGGTGCCGAGGTGCTCGCGGGGCGCTGACAGGTGCGCCTCCATCGTCGAGCAAGCGCGGAAACGTGGTTGGAGGTTCAGATCCAGAGATGGACATGCTGGAACGCCAGTTTGGGGCAAGAGCGTCATTGATTAGAATAGTGGCAATGAGGCAGCATCATCGGCGCCCCATGCAAGGCAACGACCCGGGAACCGCCATGGAGCTGGACCCCCGGCAGCACGCGAGAGGGACCTGCAGCAAGCAGCCTGGCTGCCAGCAGTGCTCCTTGGTTGGTAGCCGCGCAGGTGACTGCTCAGCTCGGAAACGAGCTTCGAGTGTCAGGTCAGGAAGAATCCAGCCCCAGCTTGGCAAGCTGGCAGGCGGGAGCTGACGCAAGCCTAGCCTCCCGACCGACTCCTTTTCAACGCTGGCGGGGGGGTTGTAGCCAGGCGCGCGCGGACTCACCCGAATGTCGAGCTCGTGGTGGATTTCTTGGGGGCGCGCGGCGCGTGTTCCATTTGTCTGGGCAACTTCGAGCGTAAGTCTGGTGACTATCGCATGACGCGCTTCCGCGCGCGCCACGAGATCTGCGGGACCAACCGCGGGCGAAGTTTTGCCAACAACCAGCGCCCCAGTTCAGGCAACGAGCCGAATTCACATTCTGCCGTGGCCCTGCCATCGTCGCAGCGGTTTTCGCGCGGGCAGGTGCGCCTCCAGAGGGTGCTTTGGCAAGCGCCTGGGGACTCATGGGGCTGAGTATCGCGGTGCAGGAACTGATGACACGCGCGCAACATCAGTCCCCGCGTCTTGAGCCCCAGCACGGGGACGCGCCGATGCCCGACGCAGGTCCAGACGCCGCTGGGGATTTGCGCCAGCGTCGGCTTCGCCACGCTCAGCCAGAAAATCCCCAGAGGCTGCACTTCTTTTTGTGACCGCACAGGGGCAATGCGAGGATCCAGGCGGGCATGCTGCGCCGATGAGGAGATCAACCAGCGGCAGTACTCTGAGACGAACCTCGCCCTCAAAGAGTGTGCCATGTTGCTTGGTAGGGGCGGTGGGTCGCCCTATGCGGCGGACGCTCGCGTCGACCGGCCCTCGAAGACGCCCTGGCTGGGCGGCTGGAGCAGCGTGCTGTTCGATCTGGCGGGCTCGAGGAGCAAACTCATCGGGGCCGTCGCGGCCGCTCGCTAGCCAGGGTCAAACGGCGATGGGGGCGACGGCCGATGGGCTGGCCTCGCCCCGCCGTGATCGGTCTCGGCGATGGCAGCGCGCCAGCCGACGAGATCGGCGCCTCCTGACGTCGCGCGCGGGTGCGAGGGCCGCGTCCAGGGCGCAGCCTATAGGCCCGACTTCGCGATTGAGTTCGGGAAAGACTTGCCCGCGATACTGGGCCTGGACAGCATGCACCAGAAGCGTGCGATCGCTGGTCTCGAGACTGGACAGGAGAGGCGCGTCTTTCCTGGACAGGGGACTGTCGACCTTGAGCTGCCTGCTGGTGCCCAGGTCATCCTACTGGAGATTCATCGAGCTCCATCTGGGCTCTGGCACGCTCGGAAACTAACCATGGGTACTCAGTAAGCTCAAAAACGAGCCGCGGGAAGATTGTCTATACGACGGAGAGCGCAAGTCTTGGCGCCGCGTCTTCGATTGGTGCGAACGTGACTGACGAGGAGAGCCTGGCCCTGATCGGCGTCTTCGTTGCCAAGGCGAACAATCTTGACCTGGACCTCGGGGAGCTTGGGTCGCGGCAGGCGCTTCGGACGCGTGTAGGCAGAGAGCTGGGCCGACTTGCGACCCCGATGTTTGGCCACCGCAAGACAGCGTCCATGTTCTTTGCGCCCGCTGACCTGAAGTCTGCTGATCAGGCGCGCGCGATGTGGGGGCCGAGTTTTCCGCCGCGTCCCGCCAAGGGCTATGCCGTGGGTGGTGCCTTGCAGCTTGCATCGGCTGTCTCGAGCTCGCGGCAGGGGGGGCAGGGTGGTTTCAGCCCTGCGCCGCCCTGCAGTGGCTTGCTGGTTGGGCCTAATTACAGTAATTTCGCCCTCTAGGAAACTTACCCCAAGCATGGGAAATCGTTCATCATTGAAGATGCACGCGAGGCTGGCGCCGATCTCCGACGGAGAGGTTTCACACTGGTTGGATGACATCTGTCGGGGCCGATCACCTAGATGCATTCATTTGTGGGGATTACTCCCTCATGCGGATCTGTGCCTTGACCGACTTGCGTGCGCGAGCCCCTGGAAAGCGCGGGGGGTCGCATTGGCAGCGGCTACAACATCTAGAAGGCATTGCACGTGCATCTCATTATGCTTTGGCCACCAGGTTATGCGTGGAAGCAAGTTTCTACTCGCGTGCCATTGTCGAGGGTATCAATGCGCAGATATCACGCACCCGGTTGTGCCATTCCAGGTCTAGGTCTGATGCGCACAGCAGTGCGCTTGGTCGTGCGCACATGCAGGTTGCAAACTAACGTGCCTGAACGTGTGAAGCCACGCTGGCTGTGCACTTGTAATGTTGCGATACAACATGTTGGGTTGGCGTGGCAAGACACAATCCTGCGTGGAAATGCGAAGAGAGATTCGCATCAACCTGGGGACGAGCCTGCTTTTGGTTTACGGTGTACGGTACGATACAGGCAGTGCCCGTCCGCCACTGCCTTTCCTTGTTTCTAAATGCGCGGCGGCTCTGGTGACGTCGGCGAGATACCTTCTGAGGCCCAGGCGAGGTCTCGGGGCTTCTAGTATGGCGTGGTGATCTGGGAATGAAAGCTCGTTTAGCTCACTCCCTGTCAGGTCTCCGCAGTCCTCGGGCGCCCCCAGGGACAGCCGCCCGGGGCCAATGTCCCGGTGCTTCTCCCGGCGCCTTGTTGTTTTCAGGCCATGTCGAGCTCGCAGGGGCCGGGGTGCTGCGCTGTCCCTCCCCCCCCCCCCCCCCCCCCCTTCCGATTTTAAGGAGCGGCGTCCAGGGGGTGTGCCGAGCTAGCGATTTGCTCCGTCGCCATGCGGCTCAAGGCGCACGCGCCCTATGCGCCGACGTCTGGGCCCAGGCGTTGGGGAATCGCGCGCTATGTCTCTCTCGCCTATTGCCGTCGCCCTGCGTGCCTCTAGTTTTCGGCATCGATATGCGACGCGACGTTCCCGCGATACTTTCGACTCGCGGTGCCCCTTGGGGCCCTCTCGGGGGCGTGCTCGAAGGATCTACGTTGAGGAAGGAAATGGGCATGGACCTAAACTTTCGGATTTCTGCACGGATATCTCGGATCAGCGCGGGGCCCCGAACCGAAAAATCCGCCCGGAGCTCCGACAGGTCACGTTTGTGCTGTTCGTTTTTCGGTTGTTAGGTTTTTCTAGAAAGGGGCCGCTGGGCCTGTCGAGGCCCTCTCGGTGGCCTTTCTAGGGCTTCTGGAAAGCCTTTTCGGGGCGCGCTGGAGTCTGGGGGCCGTCCTGGGCTCGGCAGTTTTATCGAGCTTGCCCGACGAGGC